AAATAGAAAAAAGTATTTTATTAAAACGACCGCATCACAAGACTTTTCACACTTTTACTTCGTTCAATAATCAATGATGCGAAAGGTATTCATCACTGGGTTTGGTTTTTGGGGAGACATGTGTCTACAACGGCCAATTTACCGGTTTACAACTTGCAGCGATTTCATTAATTCAAGCCTATCACGAACATTTATGACAACATATAATGATCATGTATGGTTCCAAACAGCATTATATGACCCCGATGTGTATCTTCTAAAATCTCATTTCTTTTCGACACCAGCCCCGTAACCTTCGAATTTTTTCAAAAAGCATGGATATTAGCTTTCAATTTTGGAATTTTTTTATCTTTTTCGCTCGGAAATAAAGATTGCCGAAATGTTTACAATGGTCCCTAATATCCTGTGGGAGACCAATTAGGTGGGTGGAACCATGCATTCTATTTGCCTTTAAACAACCAATTTACCGGTTTACAACTTGCACAAATTTAATTAACTCAAGCCTACTACGAACATTTATGACAACATATAATGATCATATATGGTTCCAAACGACATCATATGACCCCGAGATATATCCCCTAAAATCTCAAAAGTTTTTGACACCAGGCTTCGAAACATTCCAAATTTCTCAAAAAGCGTGTATTTAAATTTTGGAATGTTTTTTACTTTTTTCGCCAGAAATAAAAATTGCCGAAATGTTTACCATGGTCCCTAATACCTGCCGGGAATCCAATTGGGTGGGTGGAACCATCCAATTTGCCTTTAAACGACCAATTTACCGGTTTACAACTTGCACCGATTTCATTAATTCAAGCCTACCACGAACATTTATGAAAACAAATAATGATCATATATGGTTCCAAAAAACATTTTATGACCCTGAGATGTATTCCCTAGAATTTCAAGATTTTTCGAAACCGGGCCTCGAAGACTCCGAAAATTCTCAAAAAGCGTGGATAATAGCCTTCAATTTTTGAATTTTTTGACTTATTTTTGCCCGGAAATAAAAATTGCCGAAATGTTTACCGTGGTCCGTAATATCCTTTTGGAGTCCAATTGGTTGGGTGGAACCATCCAATTTGTCTTTAAACGACCAATTTACCGATTTACAACTTGCACCGATTTCATTAATTCAAGCCTACCACGAACATTTATGACAACATATAATGATCATATATAGTTCTAAACGGCATTATATGACTCCGAGATGTATCCCCTAAAATCTCAAGCCTTTTCGACACCGGTTCCCGAAACCTCCAAAATTTCTCAAAAAACGTGGATATTAGTCTTCAATTTTGGTATTTTTTTTACTTTTTTTGCCCGGAAATAAAAATTACCGGAATAGTAACCATGGTTCCTAATACCCTCTGGGCGTCCAATTGGGTGGGTGGAACCATCCCATTTGCCTGTAAACGGCCAATTATCGATTTACAACTTGTACCGATTTTATTAGTTCAAATCTTCCATGAACATTTATGACAACATATAATGATCATATATGGTTCCTAAAGGCATTATAAGACCCTGAGATGTATCTCCAAAAATCTCAAGCCTTTTCAACACCTGGCCCCGAAACCTCCAAAATTTCTCAAAAAGCGTGGATATTAGCCTTCAATTTTTGAATATTTTGACTTTTTTTGCTTGGAAATAAAAATTGTCGAAATATTTACCATGGTCCCTAATACCCTCCGAGAGTCCAATTGGGTGGGTGGAACCATCCAATTTGCCTTTAAACGGCCAATTTACCGGTTTACAACTTGCACCGATTTCATTAACTCAAGCTTACCACTAACATCTATGACAACATATAATAATCATTTATGGTTCCAAACAACATTATATGACCCCAAAATGTATCCTCTAAAATATCATTTCTTTTTGACACCGGGCCTCGAAACCTTCCAAATTTCTAAAAAAACATGGATATTAGCCTTAAATTTTAGAATTTTTTGATTTTTTCGCACAGAAATAAAAGTAGCCAAAATGTTTACCATGGTCCCTAGTACCGTACCCTCCGAGAGTCCAATTCGGTGGGTGAAACCATCCAATTTACCTTTAAACGACCAATTTACTAGTTTACGACTTTGCACCGATTTCATTAACCCAAGCCTACCACGAACATTTATGACAACAAATAATGATCATATATGGTTCCAAACGACATTATATGACTCCGAGATTCATTCCCTAGAATTTTAAAACTTTTAGACACCGAGCCCCGAAGACTCCAAATTTCTCAAAAAATGTGGACATTAGCCTTCAATTTTTGTTTTTTTTTTTTTACTTTTTTCACCCGTAAATAAAAATTGCTGAAATGTTTACCACGGTCCCTAATATCCTCCGGGAGTCCAATTGTGTCGGTGGAACCATCCAATTTGCCTTTAAACGGCTAATTTACCGATTTACAACTTGCACCGATTTCATTAACTCAAGCCTACCACTAACATCCATGACAACATATAATGATCATATATGGTTCCAAACGGAATTATATGATCCCCAGATAAATTCCCTTAATTCTCAAGACTTTGCAACATCGGGTCCCGAAACCTCCAAAATTTCTCAAAAATCGTGGACATTAGCATTCAATTTTGGAAATTTTGACTTTTTTCGCCAGAAAATAAAAATTGCCGAAATGTTTACCATGGTTCCAAATACCCTCCAGTAGTCCAATTGGGTGGGCGGAACCATCCAATTTGTCTTTAAACGACCAATTTACTGGTTTACAACTTGCACCGATTTCATTAACTCAAGCCTACCATAAACATTTATGACAACAAATAGTGATCATATATGGTTTCAAACGACATTATATGACCCCGTAATGTGTTCCCTAGAATCTCAAAGCTTTTTTATACCGGCCCCCGAAACCTCCAAAATTTCTCAAAAAGCATGGATATTAGCCTTTAATTTTGGAATTTTTAGACTTTTATTCGCCCGGAAATAATAATTGCCGAAATGTTTACCATGGTCCCTAATACCCTTCGCAATTCCAATTGTGTGGGTGGAACCATCCAATTTGCCTTTAAACGGCCTATTTACCGGTATATAACTTGCACCGATTTCATTAACTCAAGCTTACCACGAACATTTATGACAACAAATAGTGATCATATCTGGTTCCAAACGACATTAAATGACCCTGAGATGTATCCCCTGGAATTTCAAGAATTTTCGACACCAGGCCCTGAATCCCAAAATTTCTCAAAAAGCATGGATATTAGCCTTCAATTTCGAAATTTTTGACCTTTTTTTCGCTAAGAAATAAAAATTGCCGAAATGTTTACCATGGTCCTTAATACCGTTCGGGAATCCCATTGGATGAGTGGAACCATCCAATTTTTCTTTAAACGACCAATTTACCGGTTTTACAACTTGCACCGATTTCATTTACTCAAGCCTGCCACGAACATTTATGACAACAAATAATGATAATATATGGTTCCAAATAGCATTATATGACCCCGAGATGTATCCCCTAAATTTTCAAGACTTTTCGACACCGGGCCCCGAAACCTCCAAAATTTCTCAAAAAACGTGGATATTAGCCTTCAATTTTGAATTTTTTTTACTTTTTTCGACCAGAAATAAAAATTTTCGAAATTTTTACCATGGTCCCTAATATCCTCCGGGAGTCCAATTGGGTATGTGGAACCATTCAATTTGCTTTTTAACTACCAATTTACCAGTTTACAACTTGTACCGATTTACTGGTTTACAACGACCAATTTAATTAACTTGCACTGAACCCGACTTGAACCAAAATTGACCCAAATCTATTTTAACCTGTCAAAACCCGAATTTAACCCGAATTTTTACTAACCTGACCTGAATTCAACCGACCCTAATTTAACCCAACCTGTAACAAACCTGAAACCAACTCGACTTGTTATTGACCTGACTCAAATTCAACCCGACTTGTTATTGACCCGACCCAAATTTTACCATACCTTTCACTTACGCAACCCAAAAATTCAACCCGATCTGTTAATAACCCGACTCAAAATTAACACGACTTGTTATTGACCTGACCTAAATTCAACCCTAATTGTTCCTAACCCGATTTCAAATCACCTTAAATGCAATTTAGATCACCTTATTATTGTTGATCAAAGCATTTTGTCTTGGGAGACCAAGTCGGTCCAGACCAGCAAAAGAAAGGAGCATCATCCTCAAATTTAAGAGTTAAATATAGTTTATATTTGTTGTATGGTCAAAGGAGATAATTATCTTCCTAAATTATAGACTATAGTTCCCTAGTATATTGCCATATATATTATAGTAAAAAAAAATAATTAACTTGATAAAAATGATAATTATCAATTTATAGTTAGTTTAACCCGAATATGACCTGACTTGGAAATGACCCGACCTGATTGTAACCTGTAAATTATTGACTTGAACATAACCCGTCCTGAATCAGAGAATAACCTGACTTGGAAATGACCAACCTGATTTTAACCCGAAAATTATTGACTTGAACCGAACCCGACTTGAACCCGAGAATGACCCGACTTGAAAATGACCTGGCCTGATTATAATCCGCAAATTATTGACTTCAACTGAACCCGACTGAAACCCGAGAATGACCCGACTTGATTCTAACCCGCAAATTATTGACTTGAACCGAACCCGACTCGAACTCGAGAATTACCCTAACCTGTTTTAACCCGTGAAAACTCGAATTAAACCCGACCTATTGTTCACCCGACCCGAATTTAACCCGACCTAAACCCGACCCAAACTCGATAAGAAGCATGACCCGACTTAAGCATGACCCAACCCAAACCCGACCCGCATAGGTTATGGAATTAATCTGAATTGACCCAACCCAAGTTCACCCGACCCACTTTTACCTGACCCAAACTCGACCGTTTACCCAAATTGACAGCTCTAATATACACCACTAATCCAGCGAGATTCAATATAGCAATGTGCAATTGATTTTCCTCTCTAAAACCTGACTTTGACATTGCAATCATAAACTCAATTTTTAATGCTCTAGTGGTCTACTCAAATTTTCCTCTCTAAAAAATTAAATTCATATATCAGGGTTCAGGATTCAGGGTTCGCAAATCACAACACGATTAATAATTAAATTTGAATCGACAATTTACACGACACAATAAAATACAATACGATATGCACATGAGCTTGGGACTTTTCTCAGCTGCTCGTTCGCAAATCACAGCCCAAGTCCATCTTTAGGAGAACTTTGATTAGAGTACAGCCAGGCAAATTTTCCTGAATTTCGCTCCATTATTTGTCTATGCCTCTTCTCTTGCAATTGGCAATGGCAAAAAAAACACCAAAATATAAAAAAGCAATGAAGAAATATGACAATAGGCTACATGGGGTCCACATCAATCCCTCTTTTTCTCTCCTCAATCACCCAATATGATGTCCTCCACTTGTACATTTCAGAGTTCAAACAAAAATTTCCGCTAATTCTTCCAATTTCAGCTGCCAATGTTTGTACCCTTTTCAATTTTAGGGTTCTTGTGAAATGGTGGGAAAGAACTAATTAGGGTTTTTATTTGATGTAACTTCCTTGTTTTGCAGAAAATTTGAAAACCCACTTCAGAAAATTAGCACTAATAAGTAATGGCAAAAGGGTTTTTTCGCTTCCATCTAATTTTGTTCTGTGGATTACTGCTTGTTGCTGAAGTTTGCTCCAAGAAAGCTCATGGTAAAAATTCTCATTTTTAGTTCTGAAATCTCTCAAATTTAGTCATTTTTGGATAATTACATTTTATGGGTATTTTTATTCTATATTGCTGTTTATATTTAGTGCAATTAGATCAAAATATGATCTTGAGCTACATTGTTTGATGAATTCATTGTTTAGAAATAGTGTTAAGCTATGTTGGAGGTTCTGTGCTTTATGTTATAGCTACCATAGTATATGCATAACCATAATCATATATTCATATTTCCAAGCTTCTAGTAATATAGTATGTTGTTGCCTAAATTTTGACTAATAATGGTGATTTGACATGTTTTACATATTGTGAGAAATGTTGGGTTACTACTTACTATATTCTAATATAAATGGAGAAAAATCTTTAGGATTTCTCATCTGTGTGAGTTTTAATTAGTACATTGCATTTTTGCTGGCTTAACTTTGAGGATATCCTGTTAAGGTCAGTATCTGACTATCCACGCTTTACTATGATTGGGCTACGAGCAAGTGAGGTTATTCTAAACCGAGGTCTTGTTAATACAATTGTAGAAGTAGTTGGTTGTCTACAGTGGGAAAATAAGCTTAAGTATGTTCTGAGATAGATCTTGTTATTTGTTTAGGTAGCCCTTGGCGCTAGAGCCGGATAATGTTCTTCACCCTCACACCCTGAAACTTTAGTTTGTTGCGGATTCTCTAATCTCCAAATTTTCTAACTTCTGATGTGAACCCTGTGGAGCTGATCCCTCCAATAGAATGTGTAAACCAAGTAGCCTGTTAAGAGCATTATTGTGAATCCATTTTGAAATTCCAATTTGATTCCGAATTTGATGCATCAGCTTTATCACAGTAACTTAAATGTCAACTTGGGAGTTAAGGCTTCACTTAAGCACCAACAGTAAAGTGGGAATTGATGTATGTTCTGCATAGAGACTAGAAACAGAGCAGAGAGATTAAAAAAGTCACCTTGGATAAAAATGTTATGGAAAATAATAGTCAACTATGATAAGAAACGCGATAAAAATAAATCTTCTGGCTGCCTTTTGCAATGTGCCTTTTGTTCTAGACTAATGTAAATTTATAACAACTACAAGGTACCATCATTTATACTCACTATCCAAGCATAAGATGCATTTCTTGTCAATGCAATAAATATGAGAGCTTCATAGAATAACTGATTAGACTTGAGGAAAAGAGTTGTGTAATTCTTTATATCTGAAATGTTACCCACAGGCAATTCAGCCAAAGAAATTGTTGACATCATCAACAAGAACCGTACTGCCATAAAACTGCCTCCGTTGTATGACAGCGCTGGGCTGGGGTGCATGGCCTTGCAATACGCAGAGGAGTGCAAGGGGAACTGTACGAGCAGCAATACTGTGAGCTGTCGACCCTTGGAAGATGATTTCACAGAAGTCTATGCTCCTGATTGTGGAGTGGAACTACCTACTTTTGGCACTATATCTGGTAAACTTGTGGGGTGCTGGTCTAAGCACCTTGTGCCATCAGACGCTTTCTCACAGGTTCTTGTTCATGACAAAAAGTCTTTGTCTCTCCTTACAAACAAAACACACACTGAGGTGGGAGTTGGTGTGGCTTCAACCCATAAGGGACATTTCTTCTGGTGTGTGTTGTTTAGTAGTGATCAGACTAATTCAAGTTTCATTCTCGAAGACCATGGACAGGGTATCAAACAGAAGCAAGGGTGCTTTAGCGGAACCAATACAACTTGCAATGAAGGATCTAGTATACAAGGTGGCATATTTTTCTGCAGTTTGTCTGGTATTTTCACCTCAATTTTCTTGCTGTTGATCTGTAACAATGTGGATATTTTGTTTTGTCTATGAAGATTTTTGACCTTACTATTTAAATGAAGAGTTTCTTGGAGTTAGAAGCAACTTTCCAGTTATTACAAGTATAATTGAATCTGGTTTCGTGTTCTCAGTATTTTTTTTGGTTAATTGTAAGGTCAGATCACCATTGATGAAGCTCCCGTCTTTGTTCTTTGATCATGTAGTCTAAACGTGTATAGAATGGCATAGTAGATACAGTAAAATAGCAAACATTAGGAAATTGTTAAATAAGATCTATAATGAATCTAGAGCAAAATGCATATGCTTTGTGAGTTGTTACCCTTTTGATTGAAGAGGATGGTAATGAATGATTGTTTACTAAACAAGACCTTGAAGATCACTAGATTCCTTTATTTAGATTAACATAAGCAATAACATGCAATCAGATCATTCGTATGTAATATACTTTGATCAACCTTTCATATGTAGAAGGCAGGTCACCCTGTGTATGGCCCTTTTGCCAACAATATGCAATCATATGTGATATTGGTGACATCCCTATTGTGGTACAGGATTGCGGAAGGAATGTCTCCAAGGGCACACATGGTTCTTTTTGTGTTCTTTAATGTGGCCTCCATAAATCATGTATGGTTCCATTTGTGCTCTTCCGCTGATAATATGCAATGATATGTGCTATTGGTGACATTCCTTTTGCGATTCCTTTTGTGGTACAAGATCTCAAAGGAATCGCTAAAGGAATGGCACCAAGAGCGCATATGGTTGCATTTGTGGTCTTTGGCCTCTGTAAACCGAATTATCGAAACACACTCATTGTATGTCAAGTTTGAGCTAGATTTAAAGGATTGATTGATTAGTTAGATCATCCATTTAAAACGCACATCCATTCACATTCAAGATAATTGATCCATAATTGTAGCTCCTCCACAGACCACAGTTCATTACTTGGTAATTTTATACCAAGTCAAACTAATAATTTTCTTAAAATAAATAAAAAATTGAGGTAAGTCTTTAGCCCACTCTAATGATCACCTGAAAATCTCTTTTGATATAAACCATCACTTGCTTTGGGTGTTAAGAGTTGGGTTAGGCAATAAGGGAGGTGTTCTAATAGAATACTTCGTCATCATGTGGCCTACCCTTTTGCTTGAGCCTTGTTACCTTGCCTTAGGGCCTGTTCTGATTAACTAAACTGATCTAAACTGAACTTATTGGAGCTGAGCTATGAAAGAAGGAAATTAAGATAAGAACTGAACCGCAGCGCTTAATATTCCACTTGAAAAGTGGGGGGTGGATGAGATTCGAACCCGTGACCTTTGTGTCACGCTGGCTCCGATACCATGTTAGTAGACCAACTCAACCAAAAGCTTAAGCTTATAGTTGAGGCCTAGGAATATGTTTTATACTCTATCAAACATATACGACATAACTCTATAAACGGCAAAATGATCTTGCTCCAATAACGTAGGAGGGGGAATAAGACAAAAATGTGGTAAATTGGTGAAAAGCACTCTGCATTATTAGGTAAATAGGTAAGCACCAGTGAATTAGAAAAAAAAAAAAAAAAAACCATAGCCAAATTTGACAAAATGTTAAATTGGAATATTTCAGTTTTAATTGATAAACATTAAGTTCAATTTTAGTAATAATCAGTTTTTGCCTTTTATAAAAATGTATTGACAGACAATGAATTAGGGTCTGTTCTCTTACGTTGAAATTCAGTTCAGCTCAGTTCAGTTCAGCTCAACTCCTAATTCCCTTCTCTTATAAAATATTCATTTCAATTCAGTTCAGTTTAATTCAGTTCAACTGAGTTCAGTCAATGCGAACAGGCCCTTAGTAATTTTGTATGACCTGGTTTAACTTATTTGAAGCTCGTTTGTCAAAAAAAAAAAAAAAAAAATTGAAGGTTGATCCTATCCAAATGAATCATAATACAGAGTAGAATATAATTAAATCAATCATAATTTAATCCAATCCGAATTAAAGGGCTCTTCATTTTGTCATCTACATAACTTAATCCGATAATGTACTCCGTACGATTTACTCATATCATATTCCAAAGTAAATTTATTCCTATCTCGTGTTAAAAAATAAAAATAAAACAGAAAGGATTAAAAATTGGCGAATGACAGAGAGGGAAAAACAAAGAAAGAAAACACAAAGCAGAGACAAAGAGGATAGATAAAAATCCGTATCTTAGTGATACAAAAACAAAAAAACATCCACCACCTACATTGTAACGCTTCCCAAACAAATATACTTAATTAACTAACTAACAAACAAGTACCCAACACTAACATCAACATTAATCCACTTACAAAGTTAGCACAACTACACCCAGCTTCTGTATCTCACATTACACTTGTTTTTTCAACCAACTTTTTTGAACCCTTACTTTTTAAAATTAATTAATATAATTATAAAATTAATCTAATGTACAAAAAATCACTAATCCCTATACTATCTCTTTCCAAAAGATAAAATCTCAGAAAGAAACTCAACTTCTGAAGAATAGAATGTTAGTTTCTTTTTTGTTTGAGTGCTACTCAAGTCTCCTTTTTTTTTACTCTGTACCATGTTTGTCTAATTTTTTTTTTTTTTTTTTATTGATATTTCATTATCGTGGAGTTTATTTTCCTGCTTTATATCTGGGTATTTTTGGGGGTTGAAATAGGGAAAAGTGGAATAAAGTGAAAAAAAAGGGGTATTTTTTCAGGAGATTAATGTGCTTTATTGTAATTTGTAAATGACGTGGTGCAATTCATCATATGATCTGATTATCCTTTATTTTGTGACAAAGCATGGACATGTATTTTATTGTACTCATTCAACTCATTAGCTCAATATTTACATTAACATAACACTTTTTATTACCTCCGTTAACTATTACATGCAACAAAGGGTTATTATTTGTGAGACATAAACATAAAATATTCCTTTGTTGCACATAATAATTAATAGAGGTAATATATCAAAGTAGTGCTATTAATATTTAAAGTATTTTTCCTTCTTATTCTTTCAATTTTCAATTTATTATCTCATTATAATGTTTTTTTGGTGCTAACGAAGTACTACTGTATACGACTATATACGAAGTATATTATGGACTTTACCATGTGTTCATGCTTAGAAAATGTTAGCGCCTTTTTCCAAACATAGCATTCTATAATTGGTTATACGATCATGTTCTTCAAAACCACTAAAATGAAATATTGAAGAAATAAAACCATTGTAAAATGCCACATTTAATATACAGACAGAACAACCATTTCATAATTTCTACCCAAAAATAAAACCATGTAATTAACATAAATATATCAAATAATAATGTGGTAAAATCATTAAACGATTATTCATGGAAGGTTTTAAGTATTATTTGAGCAAGTAAAATCTTTTCCAAAATAAACACCAACCCAAATTAAACTCCCACAAAAATAAAAAGGAAAAAAATCTGCAATAATAGGAAAAAAATATTTGTACCTCTTATAAACTTGAATTCCGGAAGTAATTTTTTTGATTTTTTTTTTTTTTCCATATATCTATACACCAAAAAATTTGTAAAAATTACAGTAACAAAACCACCGGATCTACAGAGCTGAAATGACCATTATACCCCTGACAACCATCTAAACAACTCACCGATTTCATCACCGAGTCGACTCGCTTCCAAGTCCAACTCATCAATACCTCGGTTGTCCACTTCATCAAACTCAGGCATCGTCGTCGTCGTAGTCGTAGTCTCTCTCCTACTACTCCCTGTAAAAAACCATCTCCCAGACCCACGAAACGACGAGGAGAGAGAATGTGACAGGTAATCCTTCAACCATCCACCTCCAATAATACTCCCGCCACGTGTCCCTACCTCAGCCGCTAACGCCGAGGACGGGTAGTGGTCATCGACTTTAAACTCTGTCGTTGATGAATTCCGTCGGAATGAGCCGGAGTGAATCTCCAAAACGACGTCGTCATCGTTGGCGATGTAGTCGAAGTTACCGCCGAGGGAGTAGGTTCTTCTGACGGGGAGTTCGGCGGAGTTTCGTTGACTGACGTTTCCGATTTCGACGCGGAAGCTTCGAGAGTTTTGCGAGGAGGAGGAGAGAGATAGAGGATCATCGTTGGAGTCTGGTAGGAAGACTGGTGACCGGCAAAGAGGGCATGATTGGTTGGATGTTAGCCACGTGTCGATGCAATCAGCGTGGAACACGTGGCAGCAGATTGGGAGGAGACGGAGGAGGTCTTTCTCCTCGAATTTGGACAAACATACGGCGCAGTCTCCGGTGGATTTTAATGCGTCGAAAGTGACTAATGGGAGAGCGTCGAGAAGTGGGTTTGTCGGAGATACGCGGCGAGTGGAGAGAGAATGAGGGTGGTTTACGGTAGTTGATGATGACGTGGCTGCGTTGGTGTTACGGTGACGGCGGAGGAAGCGGAGGAGGAGGTAGAGAGAAGCTGATAAAATGACGGCGATTGCGAGGATTAGAACTGTGATGAGGATGCTAGGGCTGACGTCACTTCCGCCGGAATGTGTACCTCCGCCGTTTCCGGTGTTGTAGTCTAGTAATTTCCGGCGTATCATTGTTGTTGTAGTGGAGAGGAGAGAGAAAGTAGAGATAGAAAGAGAGCGTAGGAGGGGTTTTGAGAGAGGGGTTGGGGGAAGGTGAGGGATTTAAATGAAGGAGTTTAATACTTAATTTGGAATTTTTGTTTTTGTTTATGTTTTTGATTTAATTAATAATGAATATTTTATTTTGGGTAAGAAAGGGTGGAGTTAGTGAGGAAGAAAGAGGAGGTATGTAATGGGGTGAGACCCTGTTCTTTAAAGCTGCTCTACTCTGCACTGCTTTGCTGAAATTTGCTATGTTTTGTTGAAATTTGTAGTGTGTGAAAGCCTAGCCCTGTTTTGGCGTGAGTGTATGATCGAGTACTATCAAGTCATTTTATGCTATTTTTAGTTAATATAAGGTTAATTTTGTTTTCTATGTTAATATAAGGCTGAAAGAGTATTATATGATTCTTTTAAATCTATGAAAGGAGGAATATTATGTACATGTATATGATGTACGATATTCATTTATGGGAATTGGGATGTTTTTTTTAATCATTATTAATTTCAGAAAGTATGGTTAGCTTCTATAATTAGATTTGGACATTTTTTTTTACTTAAGAAAAGCAAGTTTTTTTTTTGACAAAGGATACAAACAAGAAATTACATATTAATACTAAAGCAAATAGAGTTAACCGCCGCTTCTTCAGCAATTAGATGAGCTCTGTGGACGCGCTGGCGAGCCGCCTTATGAATATTGCAAACCTGGAACCTAGAGGCAAATTGTAAAATCCTCCGAATGAGCCATATATAAGCGATATAACCTTGCCCCTCCCCTCGAAGCAGGGAGACCAGAAGATAGGAATCAGTAAAAACCACAAGAGACATATATCCTTGATCAAATGCCCACTGAAGCCCATACATACATGCCAGCGCCTCCGCATGTAAGGCCGAGGAACAAACCCCGAAGTTACCACCTCTAATGATCCGAGCATCCAGTGGGTCATCATTATCCAAGCACCAACCCATTCCTGCTCGTTGAGAATCTTAGGACCAAGCGCCATCTATCTGAAGAGAAAGTAGAGCACTCCCATGCGGAATCAGGCCAAGTTGAGCCATGTAAAAACCAGGCGGAGAAGAGGCACCGCCATCTGGGGCCGCAATAGTAGGGATACTAGTAGGGGCATCTGAATCGACAAAAATTGAATGATTACCCATTACCTCCTGAAACGGAGACTCAAAAAGCCGAGATGCAGAAGAACCCCTAAAAATCCTGGAATTACGACATAACCACAAGCTCCAAAGCGTACCAACAAAGGTACCTAAGCGAGTACTAGAAAGATCATCCTGACTGATAAAAAGTCGGATATAATCTTGGATCCAATCTGAGAGAGAAAGGTCTCCATTAAAATCTGAGTGAATGCCGAGGCATCCACCCCTCCAAACCGAACGTGCATTAAAGCACATTCTGAAAAGGTGTTGTAAATCCTCCGGTTCCGAACGACAGAGGTCACAGCACACACCTAGTATCGGAACTCCTCGATGAGTGAGTTCTACCTTAACTGCAAGAGCGCGGTGTAGCAGTTTCCATATGAACAACTTCCATTTAGGCTACACCGGAAGAGACCAAATAACCTTCCAGAAAGAATTAGAGGCAGAAGGTATAGAAGGAAGGGAAAGTTGTTGTTGAAGCATAGCATACCCAGTTTTAACCGAGTACTTTCCAAAAGGGGTACCCGACCAATAACGGAAATCGTCCTGAGTCGTATCAGGGGCCTCCATTGCCAGGATTGCTAAAGCATCCGCAGGAACAAACCAATCAACAACTTCAGTAGTATCCCAACCCATGGTCTGAATATTGATGAAAAAACTGACAGTGGGAGGAGCCGAATGTGGCAAAAGAATTCCTAGTTTGAATTCAGGAATGCAACCATTAACCCACTTGGCTGACCCAGCTAGAGTGGACTTGCCATCACCAGTTTTCCAGTTACAGCCTGAATTCAACAGAGTGTTCGCCTTGAGCAAACCCCGAAGGCCGTAGGAGTGGCGACCAGAATAACGCGGCCCAATATTAGGGGGGTTGGAGAGAAAGGTTGTGCGAGCACTAAAAACTTTAGAAACTAGCAACTGCGGGTTAGTAAAGAATCTCCAAACTTGTTTCATGAGCAAAGTCTTGTTTAAGGAAAACAAGCAGCGAATGCCCAAACCATCGAGGCCACGAGGAAGGTGCATGGTATCCTTATTTACCCAGTGCATACCTTTAGTATCAGAATGCGCCCAGAAGAAGCGCAACAGTAAGGAGTCAATTTTCCCAGTTACAGAGACGGGTAACTCATAACAAGCGAGAACATGGGAAGCCATAGCAATAAGGATCGAGTTAATAAAAATTAACTTCTGCGATTGTGAGAGGCGTATGGCATTTAAACAATTAATTCGGCCCGTAATTTTATCGATGAGAAACTGAAAGTGATCTTTCTTTCTTCCGACGAAGTCAATTGGAGCTCCTAGATGATGATCGAACACCTGGACATGCTTCATTTGGAAAAGCGATTTGAAGCCTTGCTGAGCAGCCTACAGATATTCGGGCTAAACTTAATCAAGGATTTAGACGAGTTTAGTTGTTCGCCTGATATCTTAGTAAACCGCTGAATAATCTGCATGATATTAGTGCAGGCTGTAGATGAAGCCCGAAAAAAAATGAGAGCATCATCTGCAAAGAATAAATGCGAAATAGTAGGGCTCCTTCTAGACAACTTGATTCCTTGAAAAAACTTCAAATCCTGTCCCAAATGCAGCATTCGAGAGAATATATCCATGCAGAATAGGAAAAGGTACGAGGAGATGGGGTCACCCTGGCGAAGACCACAATGAGGTTTAAAGGTTTCCGAAGTAGTGCCATTAATTAAATATTTGTAAGAAACCGTGGCAAGACATTGTTGGATAATCTGTAACCAACGATCCGGAAACCCATAGGCTATAAGAACCTGCAAAAGAAAACTCCAATAGATTCTGTCATAAGTCTTGCTCATATCAATTTTGATCGAAGCGAGCCAATTAGTGCCAGTTTTCGAACTATTAATTTTCTCCATTAACTCATGACTCATCAAAATATTATCCGTCATTACGCGGCCTTGAACAAAGGCATGCTGAGAATCTGAGATGAGAAGAGGAAGATATTGGCACACCCGTGCCACCAAACACTTGGAAGCAATAGCCATTTTTAAGAAGCAAAGATACTTATTAAAGTGATTACATGGCAATATTTGGAGTTCAGTATTGCTATTCATGTGAATTAAAGTATGTAGAGAGTAATTATTTGTCATGATATAAAAAAGATAGTTTAATCCTTAAATTTTTTTTTAAAAAAAAACACATACATGATGTACGGAATATTAATTTTTTTTGAATCAATTGCATATTTGCATTACCAAAACAAAGAAACACACAATTCATTCCAGCTTTTGTGCCCAGTTGATATTAAATTTCAATGTGTTAAATTGTTAATATAAAGATAATTTTGTACAGTGACTACCATTAATATATTTTGAAATATAATACTCCGTAATAAATTAAAATCTAGACGGTATTAGGAATAATTGATATACTTGATACCTATAATATTTTTTATTTATCACTTCGTATTAATTTTTTTCTACTTTTTTTTCATTGTTGTAGGAAGGAAAAGGCTTATACTAAAGAATAATTTATTTATTTTTAATTTTATAAAAAAAAATTAAGTAGGGCGTGTGTGGCAAAATTGTGTTCACGCATCAAAATTAATATAAAATAAGTCAATGTGAGTTATATAAGCCTATGAATGCTCCTCAGTCTAAGGGTAAGGAACTAAGGATATTGGACTAAGCTTAATTACTTTATGAACACAACTTTTTGTTAAGAAAATAGGGTTTGGAGAGTAACAATCTTATTCTTTACTTGTCTGTTTGTTTCTCAAATGATATGGCAATATTTATAAGTGGTATGAGAATGTGTATTGTATCACAAAATTATTATCTAATCATTGCAAATAATATGTAACGGAGGTTGTATTTTTTTTTTCTTATGTAATGGTATGAAGAAGGTCAAACTTGTGCATTGACATGTATGTCAAGTTTGACTGCGTCAATTATTCTAAAACGAATGAAATATGTTTGAATAATTTATCCACTGGATAAATGTATCGAGGTGGGGTATGTAGAGTGCGTGGGGTGTGATTATTAATAATGTAGAAAAATTGTTGTTTGTGCCTAGTGTATAATTTGCATGACTGCATAAAAATAGAGTCCCACCATCAATTAAATGACAATTCACTTACCCTTGAGCTTCATAGATATACTACATGTACATGTACATGTACTAATGTACATAATGTAGCTGGAAGATAGACTTTAAGTCCATTTAATTTGGCAATAAATGAGTAACTAACATAGTTACCTGAAGTTTATAATTGTACATATTTAAAGCTAGCATAGTAGCATTACATACATTCCAGATGAATTCATATCATAATATATAATTCAAACTATAAACAAGTATAATCTTAATTAATCCCTAATAACGTGCACCTATAACCAGCTCCACAACTTTGCTACTAGCTATTATAGTCGTATGAAAAGTATATAGTATATGATTTTACTCTAATTTTAAGTATATCTTATTAGTTGTAATGTTGCATGCAAATATACATGGCATGCCCTAATTATCATTATAGAGTTGGTGGATAATTATTCTGAGAACAATATGTATGTATATATATGCTAGACCTAGTAGGAGTATTATTTCAATTATACACAGCAATTATATGCTTAGATCGATTATTATTATATCATCAAGATAAGTCTATGCAACAACTACTGAACAAATTAGTAAATTTTGTTCCATTGGTTATATATATTAATAATACATGTCATATAATTAATTATTAAACATGTTTAATTTCATATATATACATTACAGAGGTTAATTTATATAGGTAAAAGTTATTTGAAATTAAATTAACCTTTTAAGCGCTCTGAGCCTTTGCTAGATTATGCACACAAGAGTGCGTGTTAGTTAATGCTTGATATGTTATTTATTTGAGCTGAGTATGTCGTCTTAATTGATTCATATATAATTGTATAGATTTTAAGTTTGATCTTATTATCTTTTCCAGGAAAAAGCATAAAAGTCAATTAATAAAGCTTTTGGTTGGAAAATTATAGAGGGCTTGTTGTGCTCCATATAAAGGCACGCAATTAATTTCTTGGTCTTTCTTAATTCTTTGATTTAGTAAGTACAACATACCCCTTAGTCAAAACATCCATATCATCATGTCTCATACTCATCATAATATAACCATATAATAAGCTAATCCATTACATAAGTGTATATACATAAATCAGCTATCATTATCAATCAAATTAATTACCACCTTTAGAAATTTTATAAATTATTTAATCAGCCGCGCCAATAAAGTCAAAAAGTTAATATCAACAAAAATTGATCCTAATTTCATCAACAATAAAATCATCTTATTACAGAAATTCTGCTAATTAATTATATGGTTGATTAAAATCTAGAGAAGATTATATTAAGAAGGCTTAAAGTTGTTGGATAACAAAAAGCCAATAGCTAAAGGTCAAAATCATTCAAGTTGTTAGCCGAATTTTTGTTGTTACTTCTCATAAATTTTGTAAAAATGAATGAGGATAAAAATTGTGTGGAACTCAAGGAATTTTGTAGTCAATTTTTTCTGGTTTTTGTTTTCCTCACATTACATAACGTACCAAAATAGAAGGATTTATTTTGGACCACATTTTAAGTTATAGAGAAATATATTAAATCTTGGTCTTAGGATTTAGAACGTTCATATTTCTAGGATATATTATTTTATATATATGTAGTACTTATATAGTTACATTAACTTTGACTTTTATTTTTACGATT